GAGGCTTAGGGCTCTTTCCCCGAGGTATATTTTAAAATCGATTAATTAATATTTATTTTAAATTTTTGAAAATTTCGGTATTAATATGTCATAATTTTTTTTGACATTTTTCCTAATTTTTATGTTTTTTAGATTTAACTTTTTAAAAAATCCAAACGATAAAAAATATTACTTTGTGTAAACTAACAATATAACATAAATTAGAACACTTATCTGAATCTACATAACATAGGTAGTGTAATAATCTCTTAAAATAAAAACGAATAGAATTTTCTCTCATTTCTCTGGCAATATAAATATTTTTACAGATAGAAACAATAAAATACCTTTTATAAGTTGTATAAATCCGAAAACCCGAAATACATGGGCGATGCAATGATTTATTTCTTACAAAATATTATATATATTTTCATGATTTCTAAATAATCAAAACGATTAATAAATATAAAAACATTATATTCGTCGGCAAAAGTCAAGGAAACGGTAGGATATGATTGCAACACTCAAGGTCAAGAAACGGACAATTTTTTTTTAATCATTTCCCAAAGGTTTTGTCACGTGGCCGATTTTAAGGACCACTAAACAATTCTTGTACTTATTTCGATTTTCATCTATTACAAAATAAAAATAAAAAATTATATAATGATATATGGATATTAATGTCTAAACTTGTTCGGAATACCAATCAGTTGGAGCTATAACTTTATTGTATCACAAAATTGACCAATTAGCAAAACAGCATTTATAATATGTATTATCTAATCAAACTAATGTTATAAATGATAGTTTTTGTTTTGAATTTTTAGTTTTAGTTTTTGGTTTTTGATTTTTAGTTTTTGTATTATTTATAAATCCAAAAAAAATACAACTTTTGGTTTTTAATTAATTTTTTCTCTAGTTTCCCGAAATTTTATAAAAACTAAATTTACAAAAACTTGATTATCAAAATTTTTTATTTTTAAATTCTAAAAATTCCCCTGTTTTTTCACTTGTTGAAGATGACAAAACAATTCATATTTTGTTTCTTTTTGGAACCGTAAGGTGTTCATCAACGCGGGGATATTATTGGGTTACGTATCGAACTACGCCTTCTCGAAGCTTCCGGAGAATCTGTCATGGAGATTCATGCTGGGAGTCGGAGCCATCCCATCAGTGTTTCTAGCCGTAGGGGTCCTGGCCATGCCCGAGTCGCCTAGGTGGCTCGTCATGCAAGGCCGACTCGGTGAGGCCAGAAGCGTCCTCTACAAAACTTCGGATTCCCACGACGAAGCTGAACTCCGCCTCTCCGATATCAAGCTCGCCGCCGGAATTCCCGCCGATTGCAATGACGACATTGTTAAGGTACGTCTAATTATATCTTTAATATTATCACTTAGGTTAGGAAATATTCTCTCATGTTCTAATCTTAATGATAGCAGTTTCATGTCTTATATATATATATCTCCTATTACTTGCTGTGTTTATGGGTTAAAAAACTGGCCACTATTATATGTTGAATTTGATTTGCAACATGGGTTAATCATTTATACAATTCGGTTTAATAATTTGAATTTGATTTTCAGGGTTCGGTACGGTTTTTACTCACGTTGTAAAAGATTTTCACCCCGGTAGAAATTGAATTGGCAATGTAACCTATTTGGTATACGGTTAAGTTTGGTATCTTAACATCTAGATAAGTTGGTCGCGAGTAGAATTCGATTCATTTTCAATTCGGGTTTCGGGTTCTGAAAAGCGAATCGAGTAGAAACCCGAGTATAGAAACCGCGCGAATCACAATACTTCGGTTCAAGTTGGTTCAGTTTTTAACTATGGTGTTCAAGTAGTTCATTCACAGGCTAACACTATCTCTCTCTCTCTATATATATATGGTGTTAAACAGGTAGAGAAGAAGAACAGCCATGGCGAAGGAGTGTGGAAAGAGCTTCTTCTCCGGCCAACACCCGCAGTCCGCCGGGTTCTAATCGCCGCCATCGGGATCCATTTCTTCCAACAGGCGTCCGGCATCGACGCTGTTGTCTTGTACTCACCTCGGATCTTCAAATCCGCGGGTCTAAAATCCGACAATCAGCAGCTCCTAGCCACGGTGGCCGTAGGGTTCGTCAAGACAGTATTCATTCTGGTCGCCACGTTCTTTCTAGACAGGATCGGACGGAGACCGTTGCTTCTGTCCAGTGTCGGAGGGATGGTTCTGTCTCTGCTAACCCTAGGGATGTCTCTAACGGTGGTCGACCACACGGTGGACAAGAAGGTTATGTGGGCAGTAGTGTTGAGTATAACGACTGTAATGACGTACGTGGCCACGTTCTCGATCGGGGCGGGACCCATAACGTGGGTTTACAGTTCGGAGATCTTCCCGTTGAGGCTTAGGGCTCAAGGCGCGAGCATGGGGGTGATAGTGAACAGAGTCACGAGCGGGGTGATATCGATGACGTTCTTGTCTCTGTCTAAGGCCATAACCACGGGGGGAGCCTTCTTCCTGTTCGGAGGCATCGCAACCGTCGCGTGGGTGTTCTTCTACACGTTCTTGCCGGAGACGCAGGGGAAGATGCTGGAGGAGATGGATGAGCTGTTCGAGAAATTCAATTGGAGAGATTCCAAGAGCAAGAAGAGTGGAGAGGTTGAGTTGGAAACGAAGGAATGAGATGAGAGAGGGAGAGAGACATGTAGAGAAGATTGAAGGATTTTCAATGGCAATTACGTTGTAATATTTCTAAAACTTCAACCGGTGTCAGGTTCGTCCATATACGATAGTAATGAAAAACCGCATTCCAAGAAATTTGACATCAACAAAGTGTATTTGCTACAACTTAATTGAATATGAACCTTTCACGGGTGATTGCACACCGCATAACAAGAAAGAAGAAAAGGCTGAATCTGCGGAACAAATTTTATGAAGGACGAACATTGATCACGTCGGAAACCACCGAACTTGCCCACATTGCAAGAAACGGGGAAGGAGCACATACTGAAATTTGAAGAGGAGATACGCCACAATTTGGTTCAGCAAAAACTGAATTAATTAGAAGGTATGATCAGGTCGTCAGATTATATTCCTCTGCGCATTGGCTAGACCGATGCTGTGAGAAAAATCCAGTCCTCGAGGGTGATGGAGGTGGTTCATCCTCTATGGAGAAGAAATAAGGATTTGTCCAAGAAGAAAAGACATGAACAATGAACAAGATTTGCTCACGTGGAGAAAAACAATTAAGATGTACTTGGGTTTTTTTATTTTTTTTGTTTTGGTCCACGGAAAAAAAAAGACAAAATAGTAATTTTAACGAAGATGTAGTAAAAATAAAAAATGTCCAAGTGTAGTACTGAATATTGTGTGTTTTTAGCGGGACAAAAATATATATTAGAGAAAGGACATTTGGTCCTGATCTGTGAAAGAATTTTGCTATATGTAGACAAAGTTCTTTAATAAAAGAGTATGAGAAAATTGCGAAAAACATGTCTTCGTTCTCCTCATCTTCTTTTTTTCACCTTCATTTTTCACATTTTTCTTGATATGAAATAAAAAAATAATCATTACTTTGTTAACACAAGTAAAATATAGAAGTTAGACAGTAGAAGATTGTCAAAATGAGAGCAAAAAACTATCATGGTATCAAAATATCAGTTCCAAGAGGCCTAATAGCATAAGGAACACCACCAACACTAAATCTCTATAAGAAGAAAGAGAACAACAAGCAATAACAACAAACACCAAAGAAGCACGAAGAAGCAAATATAGAGAATCTCAGATGGATCTTCAAAATTTTCAGCAGTTGGTTCCTATACTTGATGGAAAAGACTATACCTTTTGGGTTTCAAGGATGAAGAGCACTTTGAAATTAAGAGGTCTGTGAATATGGTGATAAAAGATATTCCACCACAACCAAAATTTAGTGTGACACCAACTGAAGAAGAGAAAAAAGAGTTGCAGAAGAAGAGAAAAAAGAGTTGCAGAAATGGGAAGAGCTTGAGGTGAAAGACCAGATGACCTCACAACTCATCCAAGGAGTAGTTTCAAAAAACATTTTTAGTAAGATTTATCAGATAGAATCTATTAAGAATGTATAGGAACATTTAGAGAAAATGCATACAGGAGATCCACAAACTACCATGCTAAAACTACAAAGACTGAGAGCATGTTTTTGGAGCGTAAAACAGAATGAGAAGGAAAGCTTGAACAACTATGTAAAAAGGGTAGAAGAATGGTTAATGAGATGAGAGCCTTAGGAGATGATGTGGAAGAGTCCATCGTTACATAAAAAATCCTTTGTTCCTTATGCAATATCTATTGTTGGTTTAGGTGTTCTATATGTTGCTTTACGATATGAGTACTGAGACATTTTGTATTGACAGATTCATGATTTTGGTTAAGTAAATGAATGTCTTTTTCTTTATTCGTTTTGCATGTTTGATGAATAAAAAAAATCAATGGCTCGTTATGTACGATCTTAAACTCCCTAATCGTATATGATTATGGGAATAATATAATATATTAAGACCTTGGTTTAAAAAAGTGCGAGGCGGCTCAAGGCGCAAAAGATCTAAAAAATCGAGGCGCGAGGCGCAAGGCGAATGCGCGCCCTCATGGATGTGAGGCGTATAAACAATTTTCCATATAAAAAATAGATTAAAACTAAAATTTAACAAAATAAATTGAAATTGAAACTTAAATTATAACTAATATATATGTGTATACTTAAATCTATATGTTTTTTTTTTACAATTTCAGATTTTTACAACATATATGCATGTTTACTTTTTTCTTATTTTATCTTTACGGCGGTTTTGTCATTGTTTTAATATTGAAACAATTTTATTATGCATTTAACAGAATTTAAATGCACGTTAAAGTCTGTTCATCTTCCCCACTTCTTAAAGGCGTCCGTTTTTTACACATGATGCGAAAACTAAAGCGCTTCAGCGCTTTTGCGCCTCAAGCGCAAGTGATGCGCGTTTTTTAATCCAAGATTAAGACTAACATGAGGTGTGATAGATGATCATATGGATGATCACGGATCACAGTCATGAATACTGATTTAGAATGAAGTATTGGATGACCCGCATGAGATTGTCGCATGGACATGAGTCATGACTTGAATCTCATGTGATAAGTTCACGATTAGATCATTTGACCTGAGATGTCTACGGTATCCGACATGAGGAGTGTCGTACTTTTATTGCGTCAAACGTCTTGCATAACAGAAAGATTATAACGGCGTCTCTTTAGTACAACATGAGTCATATTTCGGGTAGTTAAAGTTAATACGAAATTTATACCTCTCGTCCTGAGAGAGATATCGCTTGGGCCCCTCGAGTGAATTGAGACTGAGATGCATGCAATCTGATGATAAGTTATCCGATGTCTCAATTAACTCAACGAACGAGAAAAGCAGTCGAATCTGATAAGATGGTTGGCTCTGTGACAGCCCAGGATATCGAAGGAGAGGGGGGAGTGATCGTCGGTGTGGGAGGTATGGACAAGGAGTGGCTTCTGACGAGCTTCTAGATAGGAGGTATAGGGATGAATCGAACACACCGGAATGAGAGGGATCCGAGGGCTGTGTAGGTATGAGACTACACAGTCAAAGATAACTTAAAGAAATTGATTGAGCTATTCATAGCAACAAAATGCATCTACCTTTTCGGTTAACCATCTCGAGAGAACTCCAAAGTTAAGTGTGCTCGGTTTGGAGTAGTCTTAGGATGGGTGACCTCTTGAGAAGTACTTTCCAGGATGGGTGTGAGTGAGGACAAAACATGCTAAAAGGTCCTTTGTTGGTGTGTGAGGACAACTATATCATTCTGTAGTGGCCTTGAGACGTTACAAATGGTATCAGAGCTGGTACTCTCCCAGTACGGTGTGATTTGAGGACGATCCAGACGGAAGCTGGTGGATTTGTGATAGCCCAGGATACCGTAGGAGGGCGGAGAGTGATCGCTGGTGTGGAGACACAGACAAGGAACGACTCCTGACTATTAGGAATTCCTGGGATCTCTACAGCGAATCTAATTCCTAAGAGATCGATTCTAGGGTTTGCGCAGTGGATGTAAAACAAAAAAATTTCTATAAAACCCTAAAACTAAGCATGTATGATTTCGTAGAAACGTTAGAACGCTTACCTCAATCGATACGGGGCCTGTATCAATTGATGTATTCGTCCGATCACAAAAGGGAGGAAGATTACCTCGCCCTTTACAAGTATCCACACCTCAGGATGTATTCCAACGATTATAATTTGTCTACTAGGACCCGAATCTGCTGTTCGATAATGTGCTATGAGAAAACGAGATTTAGAACACTTCTTAGACTCTCAAGTCTCACCAAAAATTCTGTGGAAGATCACTTTTTCGTCCCCACTTAATTAGGGTTCTTAATCTCCTTCTTATAAAGTGATTAACCCTAATTTTGGTTAAATTTCGAAAAACACGAAAGCTGGAACGAACGATTCAGATTTAAACGTGGACCGTCTATTCCAGACACTCCGGAACCGACGGTCTGGGTTACGTGGACTGTCCATTCCAGACACTCCGGAACGGACATACTCCACACTCTGGACCGTCGGGTCTGAACCTTCTGGACCGTCCGGTCCAGCTACGTGGACCGTTCGGTCTAGACCTCTTGTCTCGGTTTTTCTCGTGCATTTGTCTTTCTCTGTGTGTGTGACCCTGTAGGCTCATTCGATAAAGCAGTATAATCCGAAATCTCCATCTCGGGTATACAAGTCATAGGCGGTCTCTAGCAAGACACTATGACTACCTATCTCGAATAGAGTTTTTTCGTGATCTTACGAACGTCAGTGATGATTCCAGTTGATGATCTTTTTTATCACGATATCATATGTCGAACATAAGGCATGGAAAAACCACCTTATCTGATTCGACTGCTTTCTCGTTTACTGAGTTCGATTGTACAAAATAGATGACGTTCGTCTATAGTGTGGCCACACATTTCTACAGTCTCGCTCACACGAGGGACCCAATGATATCTCGCTCTTTTACGAGAGGTACAAATTCCATCTTGACTATCTACAATCCATCACATGATTCGTGTCGTATCTGAATATAACCGTGTCGACTGAAATCATCAGTGAACGTAACGAAATACAGATAACCTCCTCTAGTTGAACAGTTCATTGGTCCGGATACATCACTATGTATGAGAGCCAATAACTATGTCGCTCTCTGTCATTTTCCCTTGAAAGGATGGTTTGTCATCTTGCCCATCAAACAAGACTCGCAAGACTCAAAAGACTCAAAGTCAAATGAGTCCAGAAGACCTTCATGATGAAGCTTCTGAATGCGTTTTTCGTTTATATGGCCTAAATGACAATGCCAGAAGAAGGTCAGGTTTAAGTAGTTCGGCTTAAACTGTTTAGCACTCACGTTATAGATGGATGACATCGCGTTCGAAGGTTGATCATTCAAGATGTATAAACCATTCACAAGATAACCATTACCATAGTAAACACTTTCTCGATAAATCATCAAACTCGAGTTCTCAATCACAAATCGTAAACCATCCAAATCCAGACATGAAATAGAAATGATGTTTCTACTAATCGCAGACACATAGTAACAATTACTTAATTCTAAAATAAGTCCAGAAAGAAGATGCAAATCATAAACGCCAACACACAATGTACTCTTGCTCCATTTTCGATGCGCAGATACGCTTCCCCCTTTGCCAGCATCATACTTCTTCTTAGTCCCTGCACATTTCCACAAATGTGTGAGGCACTGCCGGTATCCAATACCCACGAAGATATAGTGCAGATGTTAGCT